TCATACAATCACTGTAATTTCTCACGCGTTTGCCTACTCGTCAAGATGGCTTCCAAAACCGTGACAAGATCTATAGGGAATTTACCGTTTGTTTTTACCTTTACAGACTGGCTTGAACGTGGAGGAAACATTCCAACTGATGATGCGTCAGATTCAGCGGATTCAACCAGCGCTGTTAGAAAGGATAGCTCCCAAAAACCACGAGGACAAAAGAAGGAAAAATGACTGTCTTTTACTCTAGGATTAGCCTTTTATATTAGGTTTCGTTTCGTAGTGAAATAGGAAAGAACGTTTTGTATTTTTTTATCCGGTCGAGACCACTGAACTTGCCATCAAGTCACCATTGAATAGTGGGGAGGGGGATAGGGGCTTTTTGAAATCTCCGTACTCCCGTATCTTGCATTTTCGGCCCCGCCCCTATTTTCTTGGTTTCTTGCCATTAGCCCTTTTTTTGATTGCGGAATATTAATAATTGTTGCGCAATTTCCCCCTATTTCTCCTGCTTTTTGCCCTTGCAGAACTTCCCTCTCCCACTCGTTTCTCTCCCGTCCTCCGTGCCCTTTCGTCCCCTATTTCTTGGGCTCCCACCCCCTTTTCTCTCCTACTGAATACCGAAATATCGTGTCAGGTTCTTCTTGTTGCGTTTGCAGCCAACCTAGCTTCCCCCGCAGACGTTCTTTTGGCTCGTCACGAAATCTCCTTGGGGCAGGAACGCGTGACGAACTGCTAAGAACGTGTGCGTAGGAGGCTATAGCCAACCTCGAGATAGTGTAATGCGGAAACTTTCACTTTCACCTGTTACATGTTAGGAACTTTGCTTGGTGATTCTTATAACGGCAGCCGGAGTCGGAGACTTGCTTTCACATGGATCTTTGGGAGTCGTACTAATTCAAGAACCTTGTTCAAAATATAATCCTGATATTAGAGATTTTTTTTCACCTGGGGTTTGCTCTATTTGCCTCGTTGTACAACATGACATAACTTTCTTTGGGGCTGTCAGTCCGCTTTACCCCCCGAAAGGGAAGATTTCTTATTTATACATGGCATTCCAGAGGGTTATAGAGCGTTTCAGATAACTTTATACCCCAAGTCAGGAAGACGCTGGAAAAGCTTGGTAATTTCAGACAAAAATTAAAGAATTTTCCTGAAGGATTTGTGTTTGTGTGCTTTTGTGAAGTTTCCTTGCGATAGATAAGTCCCGGCGGACGATCGGGGGTTTCCTATTCTCGTGCGTCCCAGAATTTGCCTACGGAAAAAAAGACAAACTCTGAGGCCCTGACCAGGCTAATGCGTTTTTGTTTGAAAACGCGTTGATTATAAATCGCTCTTGAAAGTCGTTCAAAACGAAACGTATTAGGGTGAAAGATCGAAAACGCATCAAAACCGCAATATGGCAGACGCGTATGTTCTTACCATGTTCATAGAGTTCAGCTTACGTCCCAACGTGCGTTTCAAACGTTTCAGTGTGGACAGTCGTAAACGCGTCAAAACGGTAACGTGGACGTGAATCGATTTTCGATGACAACGAAAATGCATTAGTGAGTGCAGGGCCTTAGTCGTTGTCTGGGATACTTGGGGACAAATCGGGGCAATCAGGAGCGTTTTTTTCTTCCAGACTAGTCCTAGATATTCACGGCAATCCATGGGCTTTAGTTTTACTCGATACCAATGCTATAATTGCTTGGTTCTAGTTGCCGGCCGTTTACAGTGATACGGACACCCCGCGTTTTGGGCATCCCCATTCCCAAAACCTTAGTGATATGGGCATCCCCTTCTCATATTACCTTAGCGATTTGGGTTAGGGTTACAGTGGATGCCCATATCACTAGGGTTTGGGAATGGGGATGTCCATGTCACTGTGACACTGCCCTCACAAATCACAATGGCATCTTGCACAGACACTTGAATTTTCCCTACACCGCAAAACAGTCGGTTTTGTTGTTGTTGTTGTCGTCCGAGAGACGAGCGCAGAAATTCCATTCTGATGAGGCGTCACTATCGACCAAGATCTGGGTAGTGCTTCTGATTGGTTGAAGCAAATTTCCCTCATGGCATGACCAATCAGAAGCATTACCTTATTTACCCAGGTCTTTGTAGTGACGCGTCATCAATATGGAATTTCTATGCTCGTTTCTCAGACGTCATTTCGCGGGGAAACCGTTTGCAGCGTCGCGAAAAGTCGGCTGTTTTCTCAGGCTAATATGTTGGCGAAATAGGATTTTTCAACTCGGGGATAACCCATGATTTTGGCCCAAAATCTGACATGGTTTTATCGTCCATTTTTTGGCAAAAAAGGCCTCTCAGAAATGTATGTTGAAAAGACAAGAAACTTGGAATCATATTGATTTTACTGTGAATAGAACATTATTCTATCGCACTAGTTACTTTCCGAGGCAAAAAAGAATAAAGTGTAACTATGAGCTGCACACATGACACTTGATAGACTGGGTGTGGCTCCTTGAAATTGCATTGTAGGTTTGTTTTAGGGAAGAATTTTGACCCATTTTCCTGCACAACCTCCTAATAGCCGATAGGGATCCGAGCTTAAGCAACAACGGCGTCAACGAGAACGACAAATAAGCAATAGGTTTAGATGGACAAAACAACAACTCTGCACGTGCATCACGCTTTTTTGTACATTTCTTGGCCATCAGTGCACGACTACGACGTGAAAATACCTAATTCACTCGAACACAAAGCAACGAGTTTCTTTTTCTTTTCCTTAACTTCGATACTCCATGGTTCGTACAATCTTGAAAGGTCTTTATTTTTATTATCCGTCTTGAAAAGTCCTTGAATTCGGTTAAGGTCCTTGAAAAGTAATTGAAATTCACTATCTCGTCTACGCCAGACACCCGTTTTCTATAAAATTAGATTATTTTGCCGAGGAAAATCTGGCTCATCATCGGTGTAAGAACCTAATATAACTCACGGGTAACGTTAAAACATTTTTGTGCTTGAACAAAATGACGTACATTACGTGTTTTAGCCAGTGATGTGTCCAAAAGGGGGTTCAAGAATGCCGATTAATTATTGAATAAATATTAGTCCTGGAAAACTGTAATTCGTCCTTAAAAAATCCTTGAAATTTGTTTGTCTGAAGTTGTACGAACCATACAGTCTTTGCGAATTCAACACCAGAAAAAAATTGCTAACATTTGACGAATTGAACGAGATGAAATATTAAGCGCGATAAAGTTTGAAGCATCGCGACGTAAGTTTTTAAGTGACGTTTTCGTAGCCGTCGCCGTCGACATTAAAAAAAGAGACAGAGCCCAGAACAGTCCCATAATGCATTTCGACGCAACAATGACCCTGCAGCGCGCAAAGGACTTAGGGCCTGTATACATGGAGATGGGGTACCCCAGGTAGGTGAGGTAACCCGTTAGGTGGGGTAAACCGCCGGTCCATATAATCTCTCATTTGATCACGTCTACATGATAGGTGGGGTTACCCGCTACATGTTACCTCACCTATCTGGGGTCCCCCACCTCCATGTAAACAAGCCAAGCCCTTAAAACGGCTAAGGGTTTTTCAGTCCCAAAGAACCACAACTTCAGCGATCAGTCTGGAGGGTAGGACAGTATTCATCTTGGCACAGTACGTCCTTAATGTTACAGCTATACCATAAGATTTAACATCAAGACATAAACTTAGTGGTGATTGCTGAGATTACATCTCTTATAAAGTCTGATTGATTGCTCTATTTACAGTTATGAATTAAAGTTTATTTGCATTTAGTCCACAATTTAGCGTTGACGGATTGACGGCATACATATCCTCCACCTGAATAGGACTTTACTGCATCTTCATGCATCTTCCACTAGTTCCGATAGAGTGCTTGATCTCAGTTACACAGCTTGCAAGATAAACAGCACTACTCCAACTGTTCTTAATCTTGTTTTTACTTCTACGGGTTGAGAGAGATCACATGAAAAAATGCTTACTGAGTGCTGGTGGTTTAGAATAGAACACTTTTAAAACGCTAGGTTATCTGCGATTAAGCATACTAAGCTCCTTAAAATCAAACTACTTTCGAATTATCGAGAGATTCTCAAATTTAGGGAAATTACTTACAATAGTTCGTGACATCAATTACACAATTTCTACATTTTCATAACTCGATCTTATAAATAATATTAATACAATATTTATTTATTATTAAGCGTTATGCATGCCTCGTTCAATGCACGTTTTATTACATTGAGTTCTAACCTTATGCCCTATTCACACCAGAAATATGTTTAATTCAACTAGGGTTTCAGAAAAAACGAAAAACAGTAACGGAAACTGACTAAAACATAGTCTTTTACACAGAATTCAAATGAATCTTAACTCTTTACATAATTTCATTCAATTTGCAATCGATAATTACACATACAGTAAGCAGCTTTTATAAAGAAACGGCGTGTGTAACGAAATATAGCTTTAAACTTAGCTTGTTTAAGCTTCGATGTGAATGGGGTACCTTCCTCTTAGGGGCACCCATTGCGACGAGGGCTTCCTCCTAAATGCATGGAAAACAGTCAGGCTATCTAGAGTACTTTTAGATCTCGAGAAATGCATTTTAAGCGGTGCTATAAAATTTGTATCCATTCGATCATAAGGCAACTTGAGTCTTTTCGAAATTATAGGGGCTTTTAGTATTATTTTCCCGAAATTTAAAGTTTTACGAAAGTATAAAGAATTTTCTGATTCCCCTCTCCATCGCATTCTCGAATCAAAAAAGTTTAGGTTTCTTTTTTCTACGAAAATAAGCTTAACCTGGGAAGTGAAATGCGAAAAATTAAACTTTAGAAAATCGCAGGGAATTTGTTACATAAGCTTTGAAAATTGTTCACGAATGGAACGGTCATCTAGAAATTCAGTTTAGCCTTCCTCAAGCGATAGTAAATCCTTGGCAAATTTGCTTCTAAGAACAGATATTTTACATAAAACAGTCGATGAGTGTCCCTGCCTTCCTATACTGTAAAAGCCAGTGGGTAGGTCTGACTTTAAAATCAAGGGGGATGAACGACCTGCTGTGTTTTTAGTTTAAAAATAAACTTCCGCAGTTCTTTCTGTCTCCAACAGTAAATCAACGGATTTAAAAGTGAATTTAGCATTGAAAACGTGCGGGCCCATAGTGGTGGAAAAATATCAGGCCGTTTCAGCAAGAAAGTAATAAAAGCTAAGGCTATGGGCGAAAAACACACTGCTAAAGCGCCAACTACATATACAGTTGTCGTCAACGCTTTGTTCTCTTTCGCGAAATGCTCTACTTCTTCTTGGGGTATCTGCTGGGTCTTGATTAGCTTTCGATGACGTCTACCTTCAATATACAGCAGCACATATGAAAAAGTGACAAAAATGATACAAGAGCTTATGGTTAAGGCGATGAAAAAGAAAGAAAAATTCTTTACTGGTTTGATAAATTTGAGAACCTCACAAACGAGAGAGACGACCCAACACAAGATAACTACTACCTTAATTTTTTCTTCACTTACAATATATAGGTAATTCATTGTAAACTTGATCGCTACAAGTCTCTCAGCAGTCACAAGCGTAAGATGAAGACAGGAGGAAACAGAAAGGGCGCGAAGTGCCGAACCGTGGATCACGCGTGCTGGGTTGTAGTTGAGCGCACCAGTTATCTCAAACGTTTTCCAGAGAATAAAGGCTGGTTGCGTTATTAGACCAGTTAAGGCGTCAGTTGCGGCTAGACAGGCCAGCAAAATGTTGCTTTTGGTCTGAAGTCGTCGTCTTCTTTTGACAGCCATTATCACCAACATATTAAGGAGAACTGTAAAAGGACAAGCGATGCTGTTTATTATCAAAGTAGCGACATCCACTTCATAATGATCATTTTTAAACGAGCCGCCTTCGGTGGTGTCTTCATGTTTGCTAGTTATGTTTGTGGAATCGAAACTAGTGATGTTGGCCATCAAGAGACGAGAGGGATTAAAGCTCGAAATGTGCGACTTTGCTAGTGACCTTATATCTGCTGCGTCAAAAGTGCAGTCTCGAGACACTCATTTTATAAGACATTTTGGCTTTCTAGCAGTTGGTCTTTGTGTTAATTTTCCCAGGCATTTTAATATAGAGGACAATTAACTCCGCAAAACAATAATATCAAATAAAAATAACCTCAACATAATCAAGTGGTTAATTCTCATAGTTATTCTGCCACGAAGTGATGATTTCTTTCCGGCATAAGAAACAGAAAATAGTTTAATACAACATGGAAAGTGCTGAGCTTTAAGAGAAATATTGATGGAGAAATTTTTTTTTAATTTAAAAAATCGACCCTTCGAGGCGATATGTAGTTTAAAATTAATTTTTAGTTTATAACTAACTGACTAGCCAGAAAATTTTACAAAAGATATACAATTTTGTGTAATTGACATGGAAAGCATTGAAGTTTTGTTCCTTTTTGTCTTTTATACTTGTGCAAATCCTTGCCGCACGCAAGATAATGTATTACATTAGGACGAATTAGGAGTGAAACGATAGAAAAAAAGCAGCGAATTTTATGGCTTTATGAAGAAAGTTCCTACTATGTGATCTGCTATGATGAAATTCCCCAAATGAAATTACACGAGTTATAGAAAGTCCGGCTGATTTGCAACAATTTTCTAAAGAGAGTCAAACAGATCTATTTTTACTTTTCATGAAGGTAACTCTAATGGATATTTTAACTCAGGACCAAAAAGAAACTACCGCAAAGGAAACAATGAGGAAGCCGATAAAATGACCTGTTTTTACAAATTAAATAAAAACACGGTAGCAATTCTAAATAGTTCATCTAATTCGTGGAACTCCTCACAAACAATTGGGTTAGCAAGGAAAATGTCGAGTCGAGGTCTGATCGTCGACAACAATGCAAGGAAATAAGTATAAACGTGAGATACAACTCGGTATAGACGTTGTATTGGACTGTATTGGGGAAAAGGTTGAATAATTAAATAAGTAAAATTAATTAGAAGTAGTTCTTTCTAAGACTATTACTAAAGTGAAATTTTAATTCCTAATACTGAATTATTTGTCGACGCGATCTGTTGGCCAAATCGTGCAGCAGCGCTAATTTTTCTGCACGCTACGGATCAGAGGGCCTATCTTTCTACTTAACCACGGCCGAAGTTCCTCGGGGTTTGAATATTACTGCAGGAATTGTTTCTTAACAAATCAGTCTTTCACACCACCCCACATTCCCCCGCAGAAAAATATAGAGAAATAATCATACAGCACTTTCTTCTGCAAACCTGCTTTTATCCATGTAATAGCTAAGTACTGCCGAACTATTTTCGTTTCCCTAACCACTCCGTGATATTTTAAAGTTTCTCTCTCCTATGCAAATTAATACACCGCCACAAGGCAAATTAATCTATACTTTTGTCATAAACGTTATGATACAACCCAATGCATCAAGACTAAATTTTCGACAATGTAGGCAACTCTTCAAAGCTGACCAACTTACCAACTATGAGTGTATACATGTATTTTGAGACAAAAAAAATACCC